CCCCACCCTGACAGACAACATCGTGCCACTTCCTTATTTGATAAGAATTGAAACTGTAAAGCTGCCATTTGAAACCTGAAAGAGCTCACTTTAAATACTCCGTGAAAAATCAGTGGTAAAGGAAGGTCTCTCCAAAAAGCAACATTTACTGGTAAGTTTTTCGTCAAAACTGCTGTTTGAGTGCTTTTTAAGGGGTACACACTGTAGATCAGTATTCAAAGCTAAATCAGTGAGTGGAGAAAAGCGCTTTGGAATATGTCTAGAAATTGCTCATAGTTAAATAATTGCAGTTTACGCGAGACGATCGGTTGTGTACAACGCTTTCAAGAAAAAGGGGAAAAAAGTTCGTAGGACTGTACAGATTGATTTTAAACGATTTCCTAGCATAAGGACAGAGGCGGTAAGGGGGGAATTTGGCGCACAAATCGTGACTAATAAACACGTAGCTACTCGAGCGGTAAAATACCCAAGTTGTCATGCTCAACACTTCAATTGAAATTGTTTTAATGCTTTATGGACCTTATCCTCATGAAGGAAAACACAATAACAGATCGAAAAATTGATATTTTAGCTCGAAAAATAAAATTGCGAACATAACGGGAATAATAAATGGGATTAAGCATGTCGAGTTTGTTTCAACGAAAGTGGATATTATTGAATTCCGCTCTAGTTTATCAGATATCAGGGTTCTGGGGTCTTTCTGTAAGATGACAAGCGATGATAGTTCCCGCTGTGATTTTTTTTGTTTAGAAAGTTTGACTACTAGAGTGGAATTCAATTATTTGGATATTTGGATATTTGGATCGTTATATTGCATTTCAAACCATGAATTTATTGGACGAGGAGCTCTCCAGGCGTATGGGTTGCAGCGGTGTAATCTTCGACGAGCAAAGTCTTCTCCTTCCTTCGCATATAATGAGACAAAACCAAAGCAAACGCATTTGTTTGACCATCTCCCGCACAAAATTGCAAAAACAATTGCTTGTCGAAGTTGAAGTTGAAAATAAAAAAGGTATAAAAGTCTTATCGCGAGTGCTTCGACAGGGCGCATTGTTGGGAGTTTGTTTATAAAAAATCGCACGAAATAAACAGTTGATTGCTTGGCAACTGGCTTTAATATAAACTGTCACATTATTATTGCAAAGTTTGCAAACGTCAGTGCGACCACAAACACACCAAGAAAAAAAAATCAAAATAAAACATGTCATTTCCAGTGTAAAGACCAAAACTTTGGAGAAAATTTGGCGATCAAATTTTTGTTTTGGCTTAAGTTCGCGTGTCACGAAGAACATGCTATTCACGATGATAATTTCGTTATCTTTAATTTTTCACTCGTCAAAGAAAACTAAACTGTTGATCACATAAAACCCCCTTTACCGCCTTTGCTAATAAGAGTACGAGCATTTAAAAACTAAAGGTCCTAAGCTGAGATCCGTTATTGTCATATGCAAGGCAAACCGTAAAGCGTGACGCGCCAAACTTCCGTTGCTTTTTTTTTTTTTTAGTTTCAAATTCCTTTTTGTGAAACTTTATAGTTGGATGTCAATGGCACCAGCTATAAAGTTTCATGCAGAAAACTTGCATGTTTACGCTTGAAAACGTGTGAGATATAAACCTATAAAAACTAAGGGTAACCTCAGGTTAGGAAGTGCGGGCGTAGAACATTGGTGGAAGATATTCTTAATTTATTTGAGAGGCTTGAGTAGCTATTGATATAGGGAGAGGCAGATGCAAGTGAGTATTTAGTGATTTGATTGCTCTGCTAAAGGTTATCCCTGCGGATCGAACTCCATCACGCGTACGCGAGAAAACCTGTTTGAGCACTGGCCTAAGTCTGCATTCCTCGCATTCTTTACATTCCAGTTGGAAGTCGAAAACTCAGAAAAGCTGTCTAGGCTCTCGTATTACGCCCCTTGGCGTTTTCTTGTCAAGATTATGCTTGCGTGCTCCTCTAGTCGCCCGCAACAAGTTTGTTAAGCACAGTATATTCCAACGTAGTCAATAAACCGATTCCACTATTCCAAACTAAAGCGAACCTCCATTGGTTTAAAATTCCCCACTATATTTTATTTATCGCTCCATGATTAATTCTTGCTATACAAAGCTTTATGACTGAATTTGGCAGTTGCAAAAGTTTTTGAAATCAAACACCACTTTGAATTTTATTAGCTATAGTAAATTGCACGTGCAAAGGGAAGATAGACTTCTTGCACTAATTCGCTACTCTGGGGTCAAAAAATATATATATGTTATCTACCTCGTTAGGCCGAGGTCCGTTTTCAAGACCGAGGACACAGTTTTCCCTATCCGAACCGACTATAGGACGGTAAATAACTTTTTT